TTGCTAAAATCGATCATCAAAATAGCTGGTGATTAATTTAATAGTGGTCAGCTGATCAAATATGTGATTATTTGTTGCAGCTCTATTTCTGACCACAAAAAGGGAAAAATTAGCTTTTCCCAAAAGGTTGGTTAATGGTGTAGTTTGCACTTTACTCAAATAAATTCCACTTGATGTCTGGAATAATATTTATTTTCATTTTCAAGTGCAAGAAATGCAACAGGAAACACGCTTCAAATTCAAAAGGAAGCAGTAAACACATATTTTCTGTAATCACAGTTTGAAATGAGGAAGTAAAACATCATTTAAAAAATAAAATAAAATAGAATAAATGAGGTAAGTAGGGCTGAGAAAATTCAGCTGTGGTTTTCTTAAACACATTACTCTTTAAATTAAGCTGTTTTTCAGCAGTATGGTCCCGGCTTTTTAAAGTCTTTCCAAACCCAGATTCGATCGGTGCCCGCGTGAACTGTGGTCGCCACTAGTCTGGAGTAAGCACAGCGGGTGTATTGCACAGGAAACACATTGAAGTATGCCCCGCTGGGCGGGTCGGTCGGAGGGATGTCCAGGTGCTGCATGCACAACCCCAAATACACATCTTCAATGTAAAGAGCCTTCAAATGTCTGGAAGCTTCTATCAGCTTCTCAGGGAGGTCTAAAGACACAATGTAGCCCAGACCCAGAGCATAGCGAGGGTACTGGGCGTGAGGGTAAAGCTCCACAGGGAGGAACCACTTGGACGCTGGGTCTCGCAGGACTTGACCTCCTGCCGCCACCAGTCCGGTCATGTAGTTGGTCTTCGGAGCGTTCAGCAGCATTTCGACCAGCTTGGGCACATTTAGAAACATGTCCGAGTCGATCTTCATGGCATACGAGGCGCCCGAGCAGTGAGCGTTCAGCCACTCCAGCATCACCATGGTCTTGATGGTGAGGTTCTTGTAGCAGTCGAGGAAGTCGGCCTGGATCAGGTCGTGATGCTCGTTGCTCTCCTGCAGCAACTGATCCCGGATCTGCTCGGCTCCGTCTCCGGCCGTCAGCCCCAAAATAAAAAACAGCCTCACTGCTCGGTCCAATACCGAGCTCTCGCTTCCCCACGTGCTCCGGATGTCGTCTCGGTGCTGCCGGTTGTGAGGCGCCACGGGAACCATGAGTACCACGAACGGCTTCTCCTGCTCGCACTTCTGAGGCTCATTTATGGTGAAGTGGTACTTGTAAGGGTACTCCACCACGTAGGGTCCAGGGGAAACGTAAGGAACCGCTATCGGCTGCACTTCCACCACTGGAGCAGCAGTGATGAGGCTTTGTGCGGTCGTGTTTGCCTCCTGTGCTGATGTGATGTTATTAGTTTGATGGAACACAGATAAGTTGGCAGTAGCAGCATGAACCGGCTCATCTGTAGATCTGCTAGTGCTGATGGTATCGGTCCTGATCTGTGAGACTTCACCTTCACCTTTAAATCTACTCCACCACTTCGAGGAATTTTGCATCCACGCTTTAGGGTTCCAGTCAGGCGCCATTGTATTTATGTTTGTGGTGTAGAAAAAGAAAACTGCAACAAACACCAGAACAACGAAGATGCAGTGGCGCTTCGACCACCGACATCTTCTGCCGTCCGCCGGTTTCCCATCATTCAGCATTTCCTGCCTGAGAAGAGAAGCAGGGCAGAGAGAGGACGTGTTTATCAGTATGTAGGCTTTCAACTAAAATGAATAATTTGCTGAAATGCAAGTCACAAAAATGCTGTTCCCCAATACAGGCTGGAAACGTTCAGGATTATTTCCCATTAACCTTCTGAACCCTAAAACCTGTCCGTGGCTTTAAAAGGCATGTCATCTTCAAAAACATTGCCATAATTATTCATTTCATTAGTTGGTATCCATTAAAACATAAAGAAATGCTAAATTGTCAATTTAATAATGATCTTTTAGACATCTGTAACTTAACAAACTTTAACCAAATCTAAGCTGAAAATTGATTTTTCATTACAATTACTCTATTTCTAGATGTCTCCTTTAAGAAATCACCAAAAATATACAGTTTGCACCAGATTCTGAAAATAAACGAAAAACTCTCCACACCATTCATCAAGGGCAGAAACTGTAAAACCCAGTGGTGTGCCATCAGGACCAGCAAGGTCTTCTCTGCTGGCCTGAACTCTATCAGAATCACTGACTTACATTGTAATAGTTTCCTATGATTCTGTCTAATTCCTGTCTGTAGCGACCTGCACAGGCTAAAATTTTAGCAAAAAGCATCGTTTTGTTGCTTTTAAGTTGTGGTTTTTTTAAGCTAAGGAAGTGGACATTCTCAGCCTAAAAGTGAATTAAAACTTATGGCAGAAACACAACTGGACAGACCAGATTTTCAGCATTAGCCTCAATGCGGATACAACAGGACTTACTGTTGAAAGTGAAACGCATGGATCACCAGCTCAACAGAGTGATTGAACTCTTTGTGAGAACAGAAAGGGGGATAGATTTTGTGTTCAAATAACCACAAGTTTCGGTGAGTAAAATGTAAATTTTGGTCATTTTATTGGGTTGCTATTGATGCTCTTGTTAGATGTGATGTATGTGCTGCAGCTGTGGCCGCAGGTAATGGAGACTTGTTGAATTGTTTTCACTGGGTTTTCTTGTTTTTCAAATTCTCACTCCATGAGATACTTGTCTGATATGCAGCATCCTGCCTTTCTGCATAATACTGATGAATTCTATAGCTGTGGCGTCATAATGACGGTGTTAAGAGATGGTTTGATTCAGGTAGGACGCCACTGAAGGCCTCGGAGTAAAATGCACGGCCTGCCACTGGTAAAAATATGGGGGAAATGTGGGATTTTCAACTACATTGGTCCTTTAAATATCTGTGAGGTGCCTTTCCATCACAAAATGTAGGCAAATCTAAGCTAGATATTGCGATATGTAATTAATTTTTTTTTTCAACATGTCTCATTTAAAAAAAAAAATAAAAAATGCAACAAATACATTGTTTGCCCTGGATTCTGCCAAAAAAAAAGAAGACGAAAATAAGAAAATAAATAAATAAATAATTCAGCGTTCTCTTGGCAAAAATGTGGTGGCATGATCGACACAGCTGTGACCAACAGTCATGTGAAAAAAATTCAGGAAACTTTTGGTTGAACTGCAGGCAGTGTTTACACAGAGTAGATAGGACGAAAATAGAAGGAAAAAAATTCAAAAAGTAATTAAAATAATATGTATAGTATGTAGAGACATGCTTTTTTTTCTTTCCCTTTTCTGGTAACAATCTGTAAACTTGTACATGTTGAGTTCAGGTTTTTTTGGGTTTTTTTTTTAAATGAAATAATAAAGAAATTCAACTTTTATATTATTATTATTGTTGTTGTTGTTGTTGTTGTTATTTTACTGCACAGAAGACATTTCTGAGTTCTCTCTTGTTCTAGTCATGGTTGTGGTGTTTCCATAGAGGTGGAGGACTTAATATTGCAGTAAAACAATTTAGCCCACAGTGTGAAAAAACGTGAAAGGAGCAACCAAATGGACAGAAACTGCTTAGAGTTCAAAGGGTAAAATCATACTTGAGGCTTAATCCCTTAAATTTCTGTATAAAAAAAATCTCTCTTAACCTTTAACAACTCCTAGCTTTGTGTTTTCTGCTTCCTACTTGACAGAAATGGAGGAAAAAAATCACACTTAAAGCGCTCACATACCTTTCTTCACCCCTGACGAAGCAGCTTTCTAGCATGTTGATGTTCCCCGGTCTATAGATGCCGGGTTTTGTCCTTATCCATGTGTAGCAGCAGAAAAATGACAAGATGTTGCTCGGCTGTAAAATTCATGGCTTCACGCTTCAGGCTTCAGGCGTGGTGCTGCATCCAGGTGTGAGCCTCACCTGTCCGTCTTCACAGTGGAACGACATTAAAACAACGCTGCTGTCTCTCCCTCCTCTCCGCAGTCTATGAGTAACCTTGGGACTGCCAACCTCCTCTTACCTGTGGGAGAGCCACACCTTAGTTTGCTCGACCCCTGGGTTGCTTTGCCTCAAAGCCAATGAAAAGCTGGAAAGGCTCTGAGCCCGCCTCTTCTTACCTCATGCGTGACGCTCCTCTACAATTGGTGTGTGTGTGGAAGCAGAAATGTCTCAATGCTTTTATTTACTGCACAACCTTTGGGTGGGTTGTTGGACTTGGACTTGAGGAGCTGTTTCAGCGCTTTCGTGTTCCACGGTAGATAAAATCCTTAAGATTAGTAGCGAGGATGTACTAAGATCTTTGTCAGTGAATGTACTGGAGAATTATCTGCAAAATGTACTTGAGACTTTAAAGTTTAAAATGTTTTGTTATATTGAACCCAAATAAAACTGCTTACATATACTTTTGTTTTTAGTGTCAAGATAGTTAAGCCATTTATAGCTGAGTCAAGTATTATTTAGCAGCTTTATTTAATTAATAGCCATTTAAACAAATTGTGTTCCAACAGAGAAATAAGACTGGGCTTTACCAATTTACCTGATTATTTAAAACATTAAGGATAAGAGCACACATTATAATTTATTGTGTAAACTTACCAGAGTAGTTTGAATGATATAGTTAAGTTACCTGAGTAAAATATATATTAAGATTAAGGTGCTACAATATTTTATACAATATAATTGTACCTGAATAACTATATTAAAACTATATTAAAGCTTTATCTGAATAATATAAATATTAAGGATAAGAGCATACATTATAATTTATTGTGTAAACTTTCCAGAGTAGTTTGAATAGTATACTTAAGGCTCTACAAATTGACCTGAGTGATATAAATATTACAACATGCATTGTACATACACAATGTTACTACAATATTTTATATACAGTCGTGACTCGATAATCCAACACTAAATGTAATACCTTCCTTTATGTCGGATAGCAACGCTGTTGGATTGTCAAGACGGAGGCCGAGATACAAGGAGGGCTTGTACGGGGACGTTGTTGTAGCAAAAGTATTTGTCCATGTGTATGGAGAGATGTCTGTCTGTAATCAGGTTTTCAAATGTGTAAAAAAATCTGCTCATCTGTATTAAATATTGGACATGGAATAAGAGTTGTCAATGCGTACAGATCTTTTACACATTTGAAAACCTGATTACAGACAGACAAACTGTGAGACGACTTTTGCAGATTTTGGTTTACACTGACAACTTCTTTCACACATTGACAAATCTCACTTCGGACGAACGGATTGAGATACAGACAGACATCTCTCCATACGCATGGACAAATAGTTGCGCTACAATAATGCCCCCATAGGCTTGATGCTTGAAGGGTAACTTGTTAATATTTATTGGTTATAGTTGTTATAATAAACTAACTACATATATGTTATTGATCGGCCGATTGTCACAGAATACTTGTCTTTTATTCACTGTACCAATCTGTCCTGGGAACATTTCAGATGCTCTAGCTTGTGTTGACACAGAGCTGTTTTCACCGCTATTGTTATCTCTGTTTTCGCTTGGTCGCTCACTCCATGACAGCGCATGACGTGGTCTGGTACTGTTTGAACACTGGTGAAAACTTGGCAGACGCAATTTTACGTATGATGTCTGGCATGTAACAGCATCAAAGCAATTTGTTTCTATGATTGATAAGCCCATTACAACCGCAGCCTATACAGGTTCATAGAATTGTTCAGGTATCAAAACATGTCACATTGTTTAATACTTCACAGAACTTCAAAACACCAGAGCTATCCTTCCTGTGTTCTGCACATGTAGAGTTTTTTACTAACAAACTGATGCAAAACAACTTCATTAGTTCGGAAAACTCACGTAATGAGTGGGACTAGTGTATTGTTAGAACACTACGCGTCGCTGGATTTCACGACTAATTGACCGGTGCGCTTGTGCACGGGCCTGTCAGTCGAAATCAAAGGTAAGTAAATCTGTAGGATTGTTAAGTCAGATAATATGCTGTTATCCTTATTTGTGACATAAAATGTCATGTCGGAGTCGGAATCCAAGGCTTTTTTTATGGGTTCTGTTCATTTTTCCTAAAAACCTGTCGGATAGCAAGGTTTTCAGATTGCTAAGGGTCGGAATGTCAAGTCACGACTGTACAATAATTGTACCTATTATGTAGATTTACCTGAATAGTATAAATGTTAAGGGTAAGAGCATACATTGTAATTTATTATGTAAAGTTACGTGAGTAGTTCAAACATTACAGTTGAGACCCTACAAATTTACCAGACACATCTAAATAACATTAGGATCCTACACCATCAGATGTTTGCATATTCTCAGGTTCTGTTGGTGCAGCAGTTATGTTCCTGCGATATATTTGCTGACATGGTGGGTGTGTCCTGCAGTGTTCTTTGGAAATGCTGCAGTTGCTTTTTAAACCGCAGATGAACTGTAAAAACTCACTACTAGTATACAGGTTTTGATTGTGAATTTGTAAGCTAGAGCCTCTCTGTTGAGTGCATTTTGTGGACAACAGTTTGCAATAAACAGCGTTGGGAGCCGAAAACCCACCAGCTTAGTTTTGTGCACACAGTTAATCCACAGTAGTCAGCTGCGGATTAATAAACTCCCCTCAAACGTAATAAGGAATGCTGTTTAGTTGTACAGGGATGTAATTTTGCGGAGACAGGGTTGCTATATATAAACAATGGCAAACTCTGTGCCCAACTGGCCTCACATTCACTGTGGTCCCGTTCATTTGCAACCTAACATTTCAAGAAGACAACAGATCTTCTCGTGTTGCCTCAATATGCGCTGCCCTGAATAAATAAACTGCTGAAAATGTACCAGTCTGCCCAGTCAACTCTCCAGACACGTCACCCCTCCAATGCTCTGGATGGACGTGTCCGACAACGTGAACCTGTCCCCTAAAAACGTCCACCAACTTCACCTGGACCTTCAAGAGCAACGGGGCAACACTACACAAACCGCATAGACAACCTCATTAACGCTACACCTAAAATGCTAGAAATGCTTTAGAGAATTTGACTAATATTATATGCTGCGTTTATGTTGTTGTTCAGTAATACTGTGATCAGGTTAGCATACGGTCACGCATGCTAATGTTGACCATGTTAATTAGCATTAGCAAGTTATTGGATAAAGTAAACTTTTTTGTGATAAAGCAGCGTTTTGGGGGGAAAACTGATTCAATAACAGGAAATAAGGTCAACAAACCAAGGTAATACATACTTTATACATTTAGCCTGTTACACAATAATAAATCCAATCAGCAACTGAGTATGATAACATCACAAACCAAATTATTGCAAACCACTGTGAGTTAATAGACAAAACTGCGCAGATATGAGCTTAAAATGTTGGTATAAGGTGCGTTTTTAGTTACGATGCTTGCTTTTATTTAATATAATTCATTAACAATACGGTCAAGTAGGAAAATTAACTAAATGTATACCAATGAGAAACTTGAATAAGAATGACGATAAACCTATTGAAAAGACCAAAAACGTTCAAATTGTCATAAGGATTAAAGAAAGTTAAAAGACAAAATAGTGGAGCTGGGACAGGACTGATGAACAAATGCTGAGGTGATGGTGTTGGCACATTTACAGAGTCTATTGTTTAAGGGCAACCGAGCACGACAACAACAGAAGGATGTTGGGCTATCACCTTTCTTGCTTTGTTTAATTTTAATCCTTCGACAGGATGTGTGCTTAGTGACGGCGGGTCTCAGGTACACCACTTTGTCATTGTACTAGGCCGTTTGTTTAAATACATCTGAGAGTCAATACTGCACTTGGCATAAAAACGATGCATGTTACAGCGACTGAGGTGCAGTTTTCAGTCCTGGGAAAGGAGAAAGTAAAAGTGAAGAAGCACAGATCAGTGAAACGTCAACTCTGAGATTACTGATTACTCGTGTTTATGGTTTGGGTTAAAATACAACCTTTCACATGTTTCAAGCTTCGCCAACGTTTTCTGGGTTATCAGTGTGACAAGTGCTGCCTCGGCTAATTTCTGATGATGGCTGAGAAGGAACGGCAGTAAAGCAACAAAACACTGCAAAAATGTTGATTTTAAACTGATTTGTGATTCTTTTCTCTCAAAACGCAATCGAGGATGCAGATTCGCTGTACAGGAATGTGACTTCAAGGGGAAAATGGCTGCACCTATGACTGCCACAACTTATAATAAGTTATATGATCATTAGTGTTACAGACCTCTGTGCATTGTTTTGTGTTTCATGTTAGTTAAAACCTCCTACAGGCTACAAGGTGAAGTACGATCAAGAAGCTTAGCGACTGCACCTATATAAAGGAAAAACTGAACCTGATTTCAATTTGGATGCCAACCTTTTCTGAGGAGTCTCTTCATGCAGCGATACTCTGCTCCCAGTGCTCCTGCAACACTTAAAACATTCCCTCAAAAGTTGTAAAATAAAACAACTACTTTTTACCAAGTCCTAGAATGCAAAACATTTACAGTGCTCTCCAGATGTTCACCACAGCTTTGTTCAGTCCTGTCCTGCTGCGTTTTCATTAATTACTTCAGTTTATTGATGTGTCAATGCAACAGGTCAAGCTAGGATTGAATTTTGAGCAAACTGCTCAAGAATTGTGGACTCAACTTCTAGCAATTTTGCACATAGTTACTTTCAACAGGTTACTGCAGCAGCAATAAGGTACATTTTTAACAATTTCCTTAACTGACAGTTGACCACATTACCAATTAATAATCAATTAATCTGGAATTAAATGCAATATAGTTAATGAAATATAGTTAACACCAAATGTTTGCTGTGAAATCAGCTTGGTTACATTAGTAGTTTCATGAACAGATAACGTAAACACCAGGTTACTAAATTTATAGTTACCATTAGTTTATTATAGTTTTTAGCAATAAGCCTGAGAAAATCCACTTTGTGAGTTCACTAAACCTGTGAGTATTGACCACCATTTGTTAAATGTATTTATACACTTGA